CCAGTTTTTACCATGCCTTTAACAGTTTTTACCATGCCTTTAACAGTTTTTACCATGCCTTTAACATATTGAGATAAATCATGCACAAAAAGGAATGGTACCGCAACGGATTTGCCATTATATCGATGAAGCCAGGTACCATACGTAATACAAAACTTCGTGTAGTTTGTAGCACAAAGGGTTTAGGAGACTATCCGGTAAATCAAAGAACACGCTTCCGCAATCATGTTCCTTCCGTTATGTTACTCAACAGCTTATTCCGTCTTTGCGTATTGCAGAGTTATCTTCTCTTGGGAGCAGGTATTGATTGTTACGTCACTTGTTTGTGAGAGAAACGTCATCAATTTTTGAGGAAACGACGTAATTTTCTCACATAGACCAATGACGCAACAATCAATACCTGCTTAGAAGAGAAGATAACTCTGCAATACGCAAAGACGGAATATTACCACAAGGTGTGGTTTGATTGTGCTATTGACACGAACATAGAAATCAATGTAAACAAACTGGCCAGATAAAAGGTGTGTACATGGTTGACATCAGTTTTGGTGGAGGACGGGTTAACTGCAGTGACGAGCAGATTATATTCAGGAACCTGCATGTTCCTAAAAATGGACACGTGCGGGTAATACTGTGTCACAAACTATGTACAACACAAGCACACAGCACGACTGTTCATTTTTGTACGTCGTAAGTTACATTATGAGTTCTTTTTACCCAACCAATAAGATTTGTATGTGACGTTTCGATGACTGTCACCTTCATGCACATAAAGGTGTAAAATGTGTACGAGTTGTCCACAAAATCGATGTCGATTCGGCTGCGTTGTAAGCGTAGATTCATCCTACGCATACAGCGTAGCCGAATCGACATCGATTTTGTGGACAACTCGTACACATTTTACACCTTTGTGTGCATACGCTTTACTGGTCATTTGATCGTACTAGTCATCGGAAAGTCAACGGGGGGAGAGCTAATATGTAGTCAGGCTTCTTACGTACGGTCCAGAAGTTGAATCGCTCCATACATTAATTGACCAATTTTTACTTAAAAGTTTATTTCTTTCTCAATGACGAAATTACATTTCAGTGAATGTATTTTTCACATAGAAATAGAATCCGAAAAAAAAAGAATAAACCTGATATAAATCAGTTTTCTAGAGAGAGTACTCAGCTACGTCGAAAATTTACGCTCATTGAAATGTGGAAATTTTAAAAATATCGTTTTCATTTGTTTTGCAAACTTGTGTGAATTTCAAATGGGTTAATTTGTTAACATTGAAGTTTCGGCCGAAAAAAGCCCAAATATACATACATTTAATGGATTTTAACTTTTTTTTAATTTCTACAATCATATAGTATGTATATGTATTTGCATAAAATTATTATTAATCCATAAAATGACACCTTTATAAAGACTCCGAAAATCTCAAACTGCAGTACCAAGTAATATGTCTTGGCAGTGAAAAATTAACGTTATTTAAAGAGTCCATTTTTATAGTGTACATAAACAAGATGTGTCAAAAGTTCCAGGAAGATGACCCTATCCTTTTGATAAAGTGCTGACTGGGGACCTCCTTACGTCCAGGTAAACAATGCGTTCAGGTATAACGCTCAAAAAAAAGAATTTCAAATCCGTTTAGAGTATAATTGTTAGATTTTATTAACCAAATAAATGTACCAAGTGCCTACAGTCTGGCTTTCTGTTTGCTGTGTCTAGGAAACCTTCCTTTTATGTAGATAGGTTTTGTTGTGTATTGATAATTCGCCATTGTGAACTATCTAGTACACAAGTCATCGGGATTGACGCAGTATCAACAGCTCAAAATAACCTCAAAAAAAAAGAAGATAAAACGGAATATAGAGATCTTATGTATTTCTTAATTTTGTGTAAACACATGTCGGTATTAAATGTCACGTTTTTGCATTGTAATGTTGATTCGCCCTTAGTGAAATTAGTCTCATACTTGCTAGCATTCTTAGATGTTTGTGCAGACTATTGACAACAAAAATATAGAATTGATTTAACGTGATTGATGTCCTAGCTTTTCTTCAGCGTGTTTGTCTGTGTAACTTTGAAATTTACAGACACATGTCGTCATGAATAATAGGTCCTCGGCGTATCAAACTCATCAAAGGCAGAGGAAACAAGACTCCCCATTTCTTCTATAGATAAAGGGTTCGTTTTGCAATTTTTATATTTTTTTCTTTCTAGAAACTTTTCGTTACGACAAAACAGTGGCGTTGTAACACAAAAGTATCTACGTCAGTTAAAGACACTTTTGTGCATATTCACAATTTTTTAATATTTCAGTGAATCATATTTTGCGTATGCATGTTAGTGTTTCGTTAAGGGGAGAAAGGTATATACATTTTTCTTATGAATATATAATTAAGTCATACGTGTAACACAGGTACTTATTGAACGAGTCACAAAATATAACAGAAGCAAAAACAAATCTAATATTGGTTTGACCAAAGACGTATAGAGCGTGAAAGTTTCTGGTGTGACCAAACTGTTGAACCAAAAGGACAAAAATGCTTCGATTAAGGGAAAATTATCTTCACCTAAGGAACGTTTGTGAAACGCAGGTCTGGAAGTTTTTCTGTTTTAGCTTTTGTTTCTCCTACTATTTGAAGTAAAACAGCAAAAATACCTTAGTTTCGCGCAAAATTAAGGAATTTAATTGACAACGGACAAATTGACCGCGCGTTAGGCCTACTAGAATCCCGACACGTGCACTTCTGGATGTTCCGCAACATTGGAAGGAATACCGACCACATTACTATACAATTTAACATGTACGCTGACTACAGTTAGGTTATACTCCAGCCATGTTGCATCTCTCTGATGGGTCAACATCTACATTTTATGTGAGAAGGGAGTTAACTCCTACTAAATGTATGGAGATGCTGGGCCACATCTGATAGCTATTATCGCGGAGTTGCTCACTTGATCCTTTTCTGAACCCAAAACTCCCCATTTGTATAAATACGCACAAGTAAGATCCAAGGATATGACGTCTTTTATTATCAAAACATTTACAATTTTAAGGTAATATATTTGTAGTTTTAAAGTAAAATGTAAAAGTTATGCCTTTGCCAACAGGCCAAATATTGGTTGAGTTGGAGGTTATATATATTTATGGTCAGTTATATTTCTGTTGGTTTCACCCTGTCCATCTGTGGGGTCACTGGTTTCTAGACCATAACTAAGGTAAGTTTTACCGGCTCATTAAGACACATTACCCTACAAGGTATGGCGTTCAAGCTTCAACATCAAGCTCACTAGCATCTTATACTAAAATTCATTCCAGGTCACTCTTAGCACAATTTGACTTAGAAATACTACCAAATAGGGGGCTGAAAATCCTAATACACCCATTCGTTTTGGTTTTAAAGGTCAAATATCAAGGCCAATGTTGCTACTATAAAATAAATTTTAGACTATAAGCTGTGTAATTTTTGACATTTTCAAAAACTGGGTGCTTGCTGAAGGCTTGCATTTCTAACTTGAGTAGTTTCCACTGTTTGTATTTATGCTGAACAGTGACCTTTGGGTGTGGCCCTAATTGTTTGAGGGATTTAAAAAAAGATTTCTCTACTTTGTTGAGGCATAATGAATCTTTTTTTAAATATTTTGAGAAGCCAAAAATGTGCAAAATGTTGAATAGGCTGACTGATAACAGACGACAGGCACTGCAGCCTAGCATAATGAGCTGCCCTGACCTCGTGGGCCAAGCCACCTTATCAGGATAATGGGATGCCCTGACCTTGTGGGTATAGCCACTTTATCAGGATAATGGGCGGCCCTGACCTCGTGGGCTAAGCCCCCTTATCAGGAAAATGGGCTGCCCTGACCTTGAGGGTCTAGCCACCTTATCGGGATAATGGGCTGCCCTAACCTCGTGGGCCAAGGCACCTTATCAGGATAATGCGCTGCCCTGACCTTGTGGGACTAGCCACCTAATCAGGATAATGGGCTGCCCTAACCTCGTGGGCCAAGGCACCTTATCAGGATAATTGGCTGCCCTGACCTTGTGGGACTAGCCACCTAATCAGGATAATGGGCTGACCTGACCTTCTGGGTCTAGCCACCTTATAAGGATAATGGGCTGCCCGGACCTTGTGGGTCTAGCCCCCTTATCAGGATAATGGGCGGCCCTGACCTCGTGGGCCGAGCCACCTTATCAGGATAATCGGCTGCCCTGACCTCGTTGGCCAAGCCACCTTATCTGGATAATGGGCTGCCCTGTCCCCGTGGGTCTAGCCGCCTTATCCGGATAATGGGCTGCCCTGAACTCTTGGGCCAAGCCACCTTATCTGGATAATGGGCTGCCCTGTCCTTGTGGGTCTAGCCTCCTTATCAGGATAATGGTCTGCCCTGACCTCGTGGGCTAAGCCCCCTTATCAGGAAAATGGGCTGCCCTGACCTGGTGGGTCTAGCCACCTTATCGGGATAATGGGCTGCCCTGAACTTGTGGGTCTAGCCACATTATCAGGATAATGAGCTGCCTTGACCTCGTGGGCCAAGCCGCCTTAACAGGATAATGGGCTGCCCGGACCTTGTGGGTCTAGCCGCCTTATCCGGATAATGGGCTGCCCTGAACTCTTGGGCCAAGCCACCTTATTAGGATAATGGGCTGCCCGGACCTTGTGGGTCTAGCCCCCTTATCAGGATAATGGTCTGCCCTGACCTCGTGGTCCAAGCCACCTTATCAGGAAAATGGGCTGCCCTGACCTTGGGGGTCTAGCCACCTTATCGGGATAATGGGCTGCCCTGTCCCCGTGGGTCTAGCCGCCTTATCCGGATAATGGGCTGCCCTGACCCCGTGGGCCAAGCCACCTTATAAGGATAATGGGCTGCCCGGACCTTGTGGGTCTAGCCGCCTTATCCGGATAATGGGCTGCCCTGACCTTGAGGGTCTAGCCACCTTATCAGGATAATGAGCTGGGAAAGAGAGCAAGGTCCTCCAGAAACAAAATTGAATCATAATTCAATTGATTCGAACAATTTATTAGTTGTCCAATGATATATAATATAATAATGATCACAAATTCAGCCTTTTCTCATCATCTCTTCTTCCTGTAATAGAAAAAACAATTTACTTACTTATAAGTAGGAAGGGGAAGATTTGTATTGATAAATTGATTAAGCATGAAAACATAATCATGACAACACACAAAATCTGCACCACAGAACACACTGACACAGCACGTGTCTGCGAACACAACGACAGAATAAACACTTATGATCACAATAACACACCACAATTCAGAGAACACAATGACACACTTCATACCACTGAACACAGTGAATCAACACACTACTGTGAACACAACACACTACTATGAACACAACACACTACTATGAACACAACACACATCTGTGAACACAACACACATCTGTGAACACAACACACGACTGTGAACACAACACACGTCTGTGAACAGAACACACTACTATGAACACAACAAACTACTATGAACACAACACACTACTCTGAACACAACACACTACTATGAACACAACACACATCTGTGAACACATAAGAGTTATTTATGGTAGCAGCATTCGACTTGGTCCGATTTTCTATCGATCTGATATAATATCAGACATACTTGTTCTCAAAACATTTTGGCAAAATGCGTTACTTGAGTTTGAAGTTACAATGGGTAAGTGTTGTGAATTTGTCCTGTCAAAATTGATATCAGGAGGTGATTTTGGGTGGCGATATAAGATTATACTGTATACAGAAATAATGTCCTACAAAAGTCTTTCAAAGTAACAGCTGAAGGTAGATTATATTATTCATTAATTTGTATCAACTTACTTTTTACCAAAACTGTTTTTCTGATTACCCATTGACCTTTTTTTCATGCCCATCTCTTTCCTTTCTTGGTATGAGGGACTGAAAAAGAAAACTCATTATATTTCAGAAAGGAAAAGTCATGAGTTATAAACACAATGACAGAAAATGATTAATGATATAATACATTTGTAGGTATCTTGTATTTAGGGGATAGTATGTTGTTTTTCGTGTCTATACTGGCGATTAGAACATGAAATTTAGTTTGTACTCGAGACCAATAGGTCGAGAGTTTAAACCAAATTTCATGTTCTAATCGCCAGGATAGACACGAAAAACAACATACTATCCCCATTCTAACACACCTTAACAATTAAACTACGCTTATGTGTTTAGCAACATTGTATTTCATTGCTACAAGTACATAGTAAAGTACTCTGTGACCTGAACTGGCGACGTGTCATTCTGCAGCGGACTGACCAATCAGAAAGAAGCTTACAAAAGTTGGTCATTTGGCCCCGCCCATACTGGGGAGCACTCGATCTGTATGTTGACGAGGCGGAATATTTGAATTGTTCGTGAATGTCCTTTTACCAAAGTTTATATGACACATTTGGATTAATAATGATCAAATTCTTACATTTTCATGTCAGTATCCATGCCAATCTGTGCGTATCGACCAAAATAGGTAATTTGCTTAGATTTGTGAAGAGTTTTATTAAAATTTTCATACAACACATGTGAAATGTTGTATTTGATTTCGGATCTAACTAGATACCTTCACACGGATGGAACGAACGTTTCAGTAATAAATGGAGGTAAGAACAAGGAATGTTTACTTTTTACATTTTAATTTATTCAACAATTACATTTCATCGGTCGGTCCTTTCTGTTCTGTTGTCTGCTATCCTTATCAGTGGGATTTCGCTAAGAGGCGAGCTTGATGCCATATTGTTTTGGTTAGAAACAGGGCGTTGCTTAAGTGCGATGGGAGGAGCTTAACATGATTGATCATGATTCTATCGCAGATTAGAACATGGTCCGTATCCAATCGAAACACGCGTTGCAAACAAATCGTGTTCGAATATTTGATAAATCAGCAATATTTATCAATGAATTCACATACTACCAGCAAAATTATAATTCATTTTGAATCAAATAACAGTATAATGTACAGAACCAGCATTACACCCTGGTTTTAACTACAGGCTAATGAGGGTGGGAGTCAATGTTGCCATCCCTCACTAGTACTACAAACTTACCCGGCCCTGAACTTCTTAACAGCAGATTTGCCAGTGTCTGTGAGTTCCCGATCGAAGGCCGACTTCCTTTTCTGTCCTTTATTTTTCTTCTTAGATTGACCTTGCAGCAAGAAGTGACATACAAATGTGAATTTTCTGGTTATAACAATATTTTTTACCAATACAATTTTGTCTATTATCTTTTTATTAATAGGGAGTACTGTGTATCACTTTTTTATTTACTGTTTTCCTCTTTATTCATGAGGTGGTAATGTCCCTTTGTTATAATAGAGTGTATGTCAATACTGCAAGCAAAATACAAACAAATGAATTGCTAAAATTTAATCGGAACAAATTCATGAAATTTTTACCAAGAGATAAAGACCCATTATCAATGATCATATTAAAAAAATATTCTATCCAACTGTTCATGGTAAAAAAAAATCTTTGAGAGAAAAAGTCTACCGGTACATGAAACCTAAATGTAGCTGCATCAGCAATAAATTCTTAGACTTTCTCTTGGCGTGACCCACTTCATTTGGTCCTGGGTTTTGGGAATGCTAACAAACTTATATTCAATCTTCTTACTTCTTATCTCCTATTACTCTACTAGCTGAGCAGTCTCACGATTATTTGAGATGCTATTTTAAATTTAATATTTCACTATTTACAACAGCTATTATAGATAGAGAAATTTATCGAATGTGATCGATGTTTTCCATGGACAATTTGTAATCTAAATACAGTTAAGAAAAACCTTGCACATCACTGAACCTCTTACAGTACAGCAGTAACTGAATATGTTTCCCACTGCACATCACTGAACCCCTTACAGTACAGCAGTAACTGGATATGTTTCCCACTGCACATCACTGAACCCCTTACAGGACAGCAGTAACTGAATATGTTTCCCACTGCACATAACTGAACCCCTTACAGTACAGCAGTAACTGAGTATGTTTCCCACTGCACATCACTGAACCCCTCACAGTACAGCAGTAACTGAATATGTTTCCCACTGCATATCACTGAACCCCTTACAGTACAGCAGTAACGGAATATGTTTCCCACTGCACATCACTGAACCTCTTACAGTACAGCAGTAACTCAATATGTTTCCCACTGCACATCACTGAACCCCTCACAGTACAGCAGTAACTGAATATGTTTCCCACGGCACATCACTGACCCCCTCCCAGTACAGCAGTAACTGAATATGTTTCCCACTACACATCACTGAACCCCTTACAGTACAGCAGTAACTGAGTATGTTTCCCACTGCACATCACTGAACCCCTTACGGTACAGCAGTAACTGAATATGTTTCCCACTGCATATCACTGAACCCCTTACAGCACAGCAGTAACTGAATATGTTCCCACTGCACATCACTGAACCCCTTACAGGACAGCAGTAACTGAATATGTTTCCCACTGCATATCACTGACCCCCTTACAGTACAGCAGTAACTGAATATGTTCCCACTGCACATCACTGAACCCCTTACAGGACAGCAGTAACTGAATATGTTTCCCACTGCATATCACTGAACCCCTTACAGTACAGCAGTAACTGGATATGATTACCACTGCACATCACTGAACCCCTTACAGTACAGTAGTAACTGAATATGTTTCCCACTGCACATCACTGACAGTAACTGAATATGTTTCCCACTGCACATCTCTGAACCCCTTACAGTACAGCAGTAACTGAACATGTTTCCCACTGCATATCACTGAACCCCTTACAGCACAGCAGTAACTGAATATGTTTCCCACTGCATATCACTGAACCCCTTACAGTACAGCAGTAACTGGATATGATTCCCACTGCACATCACTGATCCCCTTGCAGTACAGCAGTAACTGAATATGATTCCCACTGCACATCACTGAACCCTTCCCAGTACAGCAGTACAAACAAATTGTGCTGTGAAACAAGGTGAGAATTGTAAGATAAGGTTAGGTTTCCTCTTGACAAATGTGAAACCTAATTAGGTGATAAATTTGACAGTTGGTGCCTCTACCTGATGTTTCGTCGTCGTCGTAGTGGACTCTCAGTTTCTGCGGCCTGAATGATTTTTTAATAGATTTGGTGGAGAAGAGCTGTGACTTTGAAATCTCGTGGAGTACTCTGTCCTCAGACTGTTGACAAAAATGTATTTAACAAGTCAGGAAAATTTGAAACACATAAAGTTTGGAGATTACTGGCAAATCTTTTAATAATTCTAATCAAATATTCTTTGGATGAATCAATTTATAGAACTGATTGCACACTTCAAAATAACATTAGGTTATAAAGCCAGAAACATAAAATTTGTAAAACCTAAGTGTCTCAGTAAATAACTGGTAACGAATGCTCATAAGTTACTTTGTGGAATTCCCATTCTCTAACAAAGCAGCTCCATTCCAGTTATATCTTTACTCGGTACAAATAACAACTTACTGTCTTCTTTTCCTTTGCCATCTTTTTGTTAGTTCCAGTTCCAGAAAATTTTCCTAGTCTTAAAGTCTCTACAAATTAACAATTGACAAAACATGAAACTCCCCGGCTTGCGCATGGTAGATATGTACGTGTGGTAAGGGATGATTACAAGCATGGTAATATTACAATATTGAAAATAAAATAACCTGTGTCACCTGGGTAACAAAGATAAACCTGTGATGTGTCACCTGGGTAACAAAGATACACTTGTGATGTGTCACCTGGATAACAAAGATAAACCTGTGATGTGTCACCTGGGTAACAAGATAAACCTGTGATGTGTCACCTGGGTAACAAAGATACACCTGTGTTGTGTCACCTGGGTAACAAAGATACACCTGTGATTTGTCACCTGGGTAACAAAGATACACCTGTGATGTGTCACCTGGGTAACAAAGATAAATCTGGAGACTCTCCACACCATTTGATTAATTATATAATACTTATGAGCTTGGGAACATTACACAAAGTAAACGTATAAGGGGTTGGTCAGTTAAGGAGATGCTCTTTTATAAATCCCCCCACCCGTACCGGCAAATAATTATATCCTTGGGATCACTTTACGACTATAATTTGAATTTTATCTTTGCTTTGTTATAAATTCTTTGAATGGTATAATAGTATGTATTTGACAAAAAGAAACAGAAACGATTATAGCCACTTTGTGGTGTGTAAGTAAATTTTTTCACATTCCTGATTTTATAAAAGTTGTGAAAATCCAGATTCCATCCCTCTAACAATTATCTTAGACTCTACAACAAATAAATTATCAATTTTAAGTGTCTTCCTACCCCTCATATTTCCATTTCTGGAATACCTTTATGAATAAAGAAAGGCAATAGATATATGTATGTAAAGACACTATGATTATTTTTGAGAACTGAGTCCTACCCAGATTTGTTAATACAATTCAATCATTATTTTAATACTGATACTTTACACAGATAACTACATTTTAATTATAATTCAGATTCTGTAAACATGCTGTTCTAAAATGTATAAAACTATTACCATTAAATCCAGGAAACAAGGGATACTTTTTACAAGTTTTGGGTGTACACTTGTACTGATAAACACTAGTACCTGGTTAATCTAAATTCTACAAACTAGGTACACTAGGCTTACTGCAGGTAAAATACAGTAATTGAAGCTTAATTCATTCAGCCATGCTACCTTTTTCATCTTTACGCTCCTTATGCGTCTGGAACCAGCCCCTTTTAGGGGCCGCCTCCCCCTCCGCATTGATGAGGTTCTGTGCCTTGTTCATGTGGTTTTCTGTGGCCCTAAGTTCGCGCTCTTCCTTCTCTTGTTCCTCTATCTTGGCAACCTCCTTCTCAAGGCGCCCTATTCGGTCCCGGTACTTGGTGATTACCTCTGTAAGAAGATCAATGTTTATAATAGGACTGAGAGGGTCTTGAACGAGAAGTCAAATTCAATATAACAACAATTTTGAGTGAAAAAAACCCCCAGGTAATGTAAAATACACAACAGTACCTAATACTGGTGTATATATAATAATATTGACAATGCAAAGTTTTCTGTGAATTGTGTAAAAACTCAATTAATTCAAGGTCAATAGGTTCTGTGACCTTGAACATCCTCTGACCCCAAACACGTACAACTAGTATAAGTCCAATCAATATTACATCCAATCATTGTTCAATACCTTGAGGAACTATCCGGGTCTTCAGTGGAGCTTTGGCCTGTTTGACAATTTCCTTGAGTACCTTTCTCTCCTGTTCACCAACCAATGTCACAGATCTATACAGAGACAATTGTGTAGTAAAAATTACCTTCACCGTCTAGCTTGATGAACTGTATAGCACTTTAATTAGTAGGGACAAACTTTCATGATTTTACTTCTGGAATAAATAAGCTGCATTTAACTCATTCACCCCTGGAATTTTATAATAAACTATTTCATCCTTTGATTTGGAGGAGTTCAAATGTGTCTTCAGGGGTAAATGAGTTAAAATTCATGCCACACCATTCATGATCAATAGTTTTACTAGCTCTCACTCAGAAGGAAAAAAAACCATTTGTGGAGTTTCACATTTATTGTTCCAGGTTGGAATACAAGTGAAAACAAAACTTTGTAAAATATATACACTGTTACATTTTGTTGATGATCCTGCTGTGTAAAATTGAAATAATATATAATGAAATTTATTTATGTGAAGTTTTCCATTTATATTCGATTTCAGTGATACCTGTGTTAATATTTGCTGCAGGCCAGTACATGTGATCTTCACTCATTTAAGTTATACATATACCTAGCTGTACCTATGTTTGCAGGTTCTACTGTAACCATGAAGATATGACTGATTTAAGTTCTACGCTTAACGTAATGTAGACTTACCTGCCCTTACGTCCTGCACGAGCTGTTCTTCCCACTCGGTGAACGTAATGCTTGGTCGTGTTTGGCATCGTAAAATTTATCACCTGATCAGAAATAAGAAATGACATTGATTTTATAAAGCTGTTCATCATGGACCTCAATTAAAATATTGTCTATAAAAGCAGGGATTTATCAATGTCTACTGGTAATTTCTGCTGCATTTTATCTTTCACATTTCTGCCCTTTGAGGGTGAACTATTATGAGGGAATATCAGTACACAATATATCATAGATTGTAAAAAGAACATAAAGGGCAATATTAATACAGGGTATTAATGGATTTTATTGCTATTGGGCAACTATTTGATTGGCCAAACATTTCATGGTATAGTTTTATACACATAGCAGATAAAAAACAGGTATCATTTCGATACAGCTTAAAGGACTATGTATGGTTTGGGCCTTTTTTGGCCCCCAAATCCATCAAAATTAAAAATCTGCAATAGAACTTTGAAACGAATGTTTCTTTAATTTGGAATACTTCCCCAGTACTATTGTGTAAATATTTATTTGTGTTTTCAATTTTGGCTGCCATGGTAACGAGGTCATATTTGCATAAATTATTGAAATTTGATTATTCAGTCAATTTTGACTGGTTTTCACCTAGTTTTTCTCTTAGCTACCATAGAGCGCACTCTTGAACAAACTTTATATTTCTCCTAAAGATGTATTACAGGTGCCTACACATTATCTTTTGATATTAAGTTTGTTCAAGCATGCGTTCTATAGTTTCTAGGAGAAAACCTATGCAAAATATCCCAATATTCACTGAATATTCAAATTTTTCTAATTTATGCAAATTTGAACTTGTTACCATGGCAACAATAATTAGAAATATAAATAAATATTTTCATAATAGTATTTAGGAAGTATTCGAAATTAAAGAAACAGTCATTTCAAAGTTCATTTAAAGGTTTTGAATTTTGATGCATTTGGGGGCCAAAACAGTCCCAAACCATACATAGTCCTTTTATTTTAATAATAGAAATGGGATACAATAGTACACATACTTTAAGTATCCATAAACACAGTAATCCTAAAGTGTTCAGACTTTTATAAAGATGTCTACCGGTAGTACAATGTACTCACAGTTTTCACGCCCTGTATGTCCAGACCTCTGGCTGCTAAATCTGTAGCCAACAAAACATCCACCTCACCAGCCTTGAACTTTTTAAGAGTCTCCAATCGCTATTTCACAAAAATAAAAAGTAGTAGTGGTATTATGTAGGCCTTGGTACATATTCCGTTATATAATGACTTGCTGATTGCAAAACAATTTTAATACAAAACCTCCATTATTAATAGGTAATATTAAGGTATTACATGAATTATTATAGGGATAATTAGGTACCACTAAGTACGTTTACAGTATTCGGTTTTAATACCTTCTCGGGATCCAAAAAATATTTGTTCAAGTAATCTAGAATAATAATGGTTCCAGTAATCTAGTCTTTTGATTATCAAACAACTATGCACACCTGTAATCTCATTAACTTACCTGTGCCTGTGAGAGATTGCCGTGTAACTCGCCTACATTCACCCCTAGCAGTCCAAGTATTATGTGCATACGATGTGCCTGTTTCTTTGTCTGTATGAACACAATACACTGGTCACGAAATGTTCGGCTCACCAGGGCTACAACAGAGATTTGTGACAAAGTGAGTAGACTTAAGACAGACTTTTGCTTAGCGTTGGTATATGTCCATGAGATTGCACCTGTTATAAGTGTCGTTAGACATGTACTACATTCTATGCCTGGATACAAAACAAATCTGCTTCAAATTAGTTGATGTATCATATATCAGTGCCTTAACATTTACAATAAACACACAGATAACTATCACCTGTTTTTTACTATATGTAAATAACCTCACTAATACATGTAGCATGACAGGAAAAGTTAGACGACACAATTGTCAGCCTTACTGTGGGCACAAGTTAGACGACACAATTGTCAGCCTTACTGTGGGCACAAGCTAGACGACACAATTGTCAGCCTTACTATGGGCACAAGCTAGACAACACAATTGTCAGCCTTACTGTGGGCACAAGTTAGGCGACACAATTGTCAGCCTTACTGTGGGCACAAGCTAGACGACACAGTTGTCAGCCTTACTGTGGGCACAAGCTAGACGACAAAATAGTCAGCCTTACTGTGGGCACAAGCTAAGTGCCAAACTACTTTTATTAGTCACTTTGTTATAGAATTCATTTCACTGGTGCATGGGGAGGTGAACCTTACCTTTACAAATTCAGAAAGGATAACATACGGAAATTACAAACAGGTTACCACATCAAACAGTCAATATCGATGTACTAAAGAAATGATAGTTAGCGACTAACTAAATTCTATTGACATTTGACACAGACAAACAATGATTCAAACAACTGGTATTTTTATCATAATTATGCAGCATAAAATCACACATTGTTACAAAACGTTTTCTTTTCTGAACAAACCACTGTTAGAATACTGATGTAAGGGCAGATAGCCAGTTATCTCCCCTGTCTAGATGGAGACTGTTAAACCTACCTGCTACAATGGCCTCACGGTCACCCTCCCTGTTGGGGCGTATCCTTACAAACTCCTGACGCAGACCAAGAGCTACATCTGTACTTTCATTCACAAAGATTTTGACAGGATTCCTCAGAGAAACAGCAGCCAGGTCTTTTACCTAACAATCAACATCAACATCCTCACAATTTTAACATATTGTTTTCTGCATTTACTCATGTCATGTTTTCAATGATTTTGTTCTCCTATGAAGTATTCTGGGCCATTCAAATTTTAAAGAAATTTTGACATGAAAATTTGTAACATTGTAGTATTACTTTTTATGATCTTAGTATGCATTCCAGTAAAAATGTGTTTTTAAACTGATTGCTAGATTATGATGGAGGTCACACGAAAGTACTTACTGACAAAGGTTTATACTGTATTAACAGTGATGGAGGTCACAAGAACGTGCGTACTGACGAAGGTTTATACTGTATAAACAGTGATGGAGGTCAAAAGAAAGTGCTTACTGACAAAGGTTTATACTGTATAAACAGTGATGGAGGTCACAAGAACGTGCTTACTGACAAAGGTTTATACTGTGAAAACAGTGATGGAGGTCACAAGAACGTGCTTACTGACAAAGGTTTATACTGTATAAATAGTGATGGAGGTCACAAGGAAGTGCTTACTCACAAAGGTTTATACTGTATAAACAGTGATGGAGGTCACAAGAACGTGCTTACTGACAAAGGTTTATACTGTATAAATAGTGATGGAGGTCACAAGGAAGTGCTTACTGACAAAGGTTTATACTGTATAAACAGTGATGGAGGTCACAAGAACGTGCGCACTGACAAAGGTTTATACTGTATAAACAGTGATGGAGGTCACAAGAAAGTGCTTACTGACAAAGGTTTATACTGTATAAACAGTGATGGTGGTCACAAGGAAATGCTTACAGACAAAGATTTATACTGTATAAATAGTGATGGAGGTCACAAGGAAGTGCTTACTGACAAAGATTTATACTGTATAAACAGTGCTGGAGGTCACAAGAAAGTGCTTACAGACAAAGGTTTATACTGTGAAAACAGTGATGCAGGTCACAAGAACGTGCTTACTGACAAAGGGGTATACTGTATAAAGAGTGCTGTAGGTCACAAGAAAGTGCTTATTGACAAAGGTTTATACTGGGAAAACAGTGATGGAGGGCACAAGAAAGAGCTTACTGACAAAGGTTTATACTGTATAAAAAGTGATGGAGGTCTCAAGAAAGTGCTTACTGACAAAGGGTTATACTGTATAAACAGCGATGGAGGTCACAAGAAAGTGCTTACTGACAAAGGTTTATACTGTATAAAGAGTGCTGGAGGTCACAAGAAAGTGCTTACTGACAAAGATTTATACTGTATAAACAGTGATGGAGGTCACAAGAAAGTGCTTACTGACAAAGATTTATACTGTATAAACAGTGATGGAGGTCACAAGAAAGTGCTTACTGACAAAGGTTTATACTGTATAAACAGTGATGGAGGTCACAAGAAAGTGCTTACAGACAAAGATTTATACTGTATAAACAGTGATGGAGGTCACAAGAAAGTGCTTACTGACAAAGGTTTATACTGTATAAACAGTGATGGAGGTCATAAGGAAGTGCTTACTGACAAAATTTATACTGTATAAACAGTGATGGAGGTCATAAGGAAGTGCTTACTGACAAAGATTTATACTGTATAAACAGTGATGGAGGTCACAAGGAAGTGCTTACTGACAAAGATTTATACTGTATAAACAGTGATGGAGGTCACAAGGAAGTGCTTACTGACAAAGATTTATACTGTATAAACAGTGATGGAGGTCACAAGGAAGTGCTTACTGACAAAGATTTATACTGTATAAACAGTGATGGAGGTCACAAGGAAGTGCTTACTGACAAAGATTTATACTGTATAAACAGTGATGGAGGTCACAAGGAAGTGCTTACTGACAAAGGTTTATGCTGTATAAACAGTGATGGAGGTCACAAGGAAGTGCTTACTGACAAAGGTTTATACTGTATAAACAGTGATGGAGGTCAAAAGAAAGTGCTTACAGACAAATTTATAATGATAATTTTTTTTATGAAACAGACACTTTTAAAGATAATTCCATTATGTGATCATGGTGACCTTGACTGGTATTTAAGCCAGAACTATTACTTAATGTGACATTGACCTTACCTCTTCTGTCATGGTAGCTGAAAACAACATTGTTTGTCTCGTACGTGAACACTGTCGGATAACTTCTTTCATCTGCTCCGCAAAATATTCATCCAGCATTCTAAAACACCACAGCATAACTTCATTGACCAGGCATCAAGTTGTTATAAATCCACTTCAGGATATTAGTGGTTATTGTGACATGCTTATGTTACCAACAGAGATACACACTAAGAAATATGTAAGACAAATTGTTGAACAGATAGAACCTACTTTTATGAAGTTTGTTGATGAAACATTTGAATGGTACAGAAGAGTCATTTATATCACCAAAGTAATTATATACATTGTATTAAAATTCCAGTTAAATGGTTTAAAGGTAGATAACTCCACCACCAATCACATGCATATGTAAGGTAGCATGCATTGACCTTGTTTTTTGAAAGTATGCGAGTTGTGTAGCCAAGTATTTATTAGCCCTATGTGTTCACCTGTCTGCCTCGTCAAGGACTAGGATCTCTATACCGTGGAGACCAAAGCTGGGCGAGTTCTGTAGATGGTCGAGGAGTCGTCCAGGTGTGGCTATGACAATGTCTGGATTCAGTCTTAGTGCTGCCTCCTGTGCCTTCAGGTCCAACCCACCTGTATAAAGGTAATCACATGTCCATTACCGCACCATCCAGGTAAGTAACTTAACTAGCAATACGTTGTTCAGACAAGCGTTATGTGTGGAAATATAATAATAATAATAATAATATAGCATTTGATATAGCACCCTATCTAGCTAACATAAGCCACTCTAAAGCGCTTTAAAGTACATAGATATACAATTAATACATTTAGCATATACATTAATCTATTCAATTTTGAGGAATTCGCAGGAGCTGCCTTATCAGGCGCTAACTACTAGTCCTATGCCACCTGGCTGATATCTCCCTATGTGTGTATGCCTGCATGTGTGCTGGAGATGTAATGCGTTCTGTTTGTAGTGGGATCGTGCTTCAAACGGTATCATTTATAATGCCACATCACTTGAACGCTACAGCACAGATACCCCATCATCTACCCCTGATCAATTTATTCTCCACCTGGGTCGTTGGAGTTGTGGGCAGGAGAAAAACACTTTCTCTGAATATCCATGCGTACGATGACTTCGGGGATCGAACCCCGGGCCGCCTGCTTCGAAGGCCAGATTGTTAACCACTCGACCAATCCGCCCATATCCGATAGTTTTACCTGCTATTCAAATATTTTTTACTACAACATTAACCAAATTAATAGTATTCTGGTACGCTGGGAATACCAATACAGTGTACTAGAAAACCCATCAGATCTGCTTTCTGCTACTTGGTCTAGGTATATCAAATTTGTTTACCATCAATGTTTTCAATCATGATTCAATATGCTTTTCTAATTTCAAAGTCAAATCATTTATAAAATCATGCTTTAATAAAGGAATTCAGAATAACAGGTTCTTTACTGCGTAATATTTCCTGGTAATGAACTGGAACATGCATTAAAGTCTGGGAAACTTGATAATGATTCTAAATCCGTGTGAAATACAAGGTATTCTCCTGAAATGCTAACCCCTTGCAAAATTATCCCTGAACTGATATATATCACTTTCAACAACTGCAACCTTTCATAGTGACTTAATTAGTAAAATGTGCACAAGTCAACAATACTATTATCTTAATGAATCAGAGAAGAGTTATTTCCCCTTTTAGTAAAAGTTACCTGTTGATGAAGTCAAGCTCAAGACATCCCCTTCTTAAGAACAGAACCCTAAGACAGTTAGTCCATCATAACTTACCCCAATGAAGGGGATCTGTGTAACATGTAGGGGAGGGAGGGGAAGGGGGAAATAAATCATTAGACATGAAAGGGGATGGTCAATCATTAGAGACATTTTCAAAATTTAGTACTTACCTGTGGATAGTGTGATTTGTATGTGTGTGTACCGGGCCAGTTGCTTGGCAACAGTGAACACCTGGATAGCCAGTTCTCGTGTGGGGACTATGACGATAACACGTGTCACGGCGTCCTGCTTCGGTTTGTACAACAGTCGTTCCAGGATTGGCAGCATAAATGCCACAGTTTTACCTAAAACCAGGACAAATCCCAGTTCATATTTGAAATAATTTTTCATAATTCTGACATCTTTTTATTATATAAACACATCTTATAAAGACTGCATTTGAAAGAAACTCAATAGGGCGGTAGGAATATGATGTTTAGACTAGTAGACTAGAAAATATAAGTAGTCGTATGCTTTAAATATTCAACTGAAATTAAAGATTTATGTAACTTTTGGGGGGGGGGAGGAGGAGGGGGGGCAACTCATGCATTTATGAAAAAAAAAAGGAAAAAGTATCAGATTGATATCCTGTTTGCAATTTCATAACCACATTTAGAGAATAGATTACAACATATGTTTTCTATGTAATGCTTTCTGGCATATTGATGTGGGGTGTCTGTAAAATTTCAATAGTGTAGATACTCACCAGATCCAGTAACAGCACAAGCACACAGGTCCTTGCCCAGCAGTGCCACAGGTATTGTGGCTCCCTGAATGGGTGTCGGCTTCTCAAAGTTCATGGCGGCCAGCCCCTGTGAGATTAATGTGTATATCTTACTCAGGATTCTCCTCAGAAAGTTATCAGATAATCTGCTTCCTGATTCTTAGGGGATGACCTGACAAGGACTACAGTGTTATAGTGTTATGGTATTTTGGTTACCAGGTAACTTGCACTGTCAGCTTCTAAATGTTTGGGAGGGAAATCAAGGCCTGAATGTATACATTGTTCTCTAACCCTGGACAGGTGTATCCACACTTTTACCAGTGTGAGATTTCCTTGTCTCACCCTAGGGTTCAGACGGGGGCATTCCCCTATCAACAATACAATGACGTCACGTCAACAATCCATCAACGTCACGTCAACCCTGAATTTAGCCTGTGACGTTATCATTACAGCGTTTTATAAAAAGACTAAATTTTATTAAAAAAGTTACCTTCATCAGTGGCCTGGAAATATTCATATCATGGAAGCTGACACGGTCGTCAAATGTATCAATACATTCTGAAAACTCAATCTTTTCCTGTTCCTGTAGGTAATAAACAGAGTTACGATACAGTGAAGATATAGAAATGATTTTTATAAATAGACAATGTGATGCTTATAGTATCATAGCCTGTTCCTGTAGGTAATAAACAGAGTTACGATACAGTGAAGATATAGAAATGATTTTTATAAATAGACAATGTGATAATTACAGTATCAAAGCCTTTGATCATTGTGTAGTTAACGAGAGAAATATTTGTTTGAACTAACTGCTAACTTTACAGTTAGTGATCAGACCCAAACTTTATTTAGCTACTGTAGCCGCAGAAAGAATCTTTAAGGAGATATTACATATACTTCATTTGAAAAAGCTCACCTCTTCACTTTCATCATCTTGCTTCTTTTTCCGTTGTTTCTTTTTCCTTTTCTCTTTTGTTCTGACAGTATCTAAGAAATAACAACAGATTAACAAAATCACACACCCAGGAATACTATACATCTTAATTCTTCCCTTTAAATTTCAAAAACAAATCTCAATCAGTATTTTCAATACCTGTAAGCTAATCTTGACAAAAATGTGTGTGTAGTTTGGTCCTACATGAAATTTCATTAAATCTGGTTCTCCAGTTTACTAAATATCAACCTAATTTCCATAATTTTTAATAAATGTTACACAATCTAGTTCTCAAAGAAAAGCTGAAATCAATCCCACACAAATCAGTCTCTCAAACACTGTGAAATCAAGTACAGTGTGATAGTACTATATCCAGCGGTTTTTCTATCTAAATTTTACAACAGCCTGTTCCTACATGAACTGGGAAAATATTGGATTACTTGGAAGATATTCCTCCTTTTTTCTCTCCATTCTAAGGAAATAAAGCACCTTTTTGATACGGGAGGCAGCCTGTATTTGGCTGTAAAACAAGGCAAAAAAAATCACTGATATTATGTACCACTGTAACAATATCTGATACTAATCGCTAGTAATTACCTGTCATCATTTCCTCATCAGAGGAGATATCCTCTTCCATCTCCTCATCTTCACTCTCAACATCTTCATCTTTGTTCTGAAACGCAAGAAACAAATACTAAATTAAGGTATTTCTAACACTTTTGATACAGTTGGACAGCCATGGTAATTTCCTTTTTTTATTCACCTCAGTGGTCATGTTCATTCTATTATCTTATCAAAATAAGAAAAAACGTTGCAAGGAATCTCAATTAATTTACAGGTTTGTCTCATAATCCTATGTATAACTAAATCACTTGCTTGGGACTCAAAAAGGGTAGAAAGATATCCCTCTTTTTTAAAGTTCAAGCATTTTGGTTTAAAAGTTGATTACAACAATAATTTTTACACTTTATCATTTAAACAAGAAGCCTAGAAGGGCCTGTATTGCTACATAGAGTTGTTGGCCAAATATTGTGAAGTTATTAGGTGTGATTGGATATTCAGAAGCGGATGAAGGTTAAAAGTTATTTGACCCCTGTGATCTTAAAAGTAGATCAAGGTCATTTTCATTCTCCAATTTTGTTGGGCTCCGTCATAGGATGCTACTGGCCAAATATTATGACTCTAGGTCTTACAGATCTTCAGAAGAAGCCATTTGAAGGTTTAGACCTATTTGACCCTTGTGACCTTGAAAGTAGGTCAAGGTAATTTTCATTCGCAAACTTTGTCGGATTCCATCCCAGGATGTTACTGGCGTAATATCATGACTAGGACTTTTGGATTCAGAAGAAGTTGTTTAAACAAAAAGTTGACAAACGACGGACGCCGCGCCATGGCATAAGCTCCCATGCCCTAAAAATACTAAGGAGTCAAACTCAAAGCTGGTTATTATGCTGTCATTTTTCTGACTAAATTAATTATCTCTTTGGGAGCTGGCATGACGAGCATCTCAACATTATTGACCAAAATATACAATAGATAGGTGACTTGGTCATTACCTGTGATTTATACATCCTTTAGTTTTCTTTTAAGTTTTTCTAGCTTGATTTGCTAGATGCTAACAACAATTTCAATAAATTTGGTCCATGCATGGAGTTTATTTAATTCATTATACATATATATATATATAAAGCTTTTGTTTTCTATCCATAGTTTTGATCTCTATGTTTTTCAAACCATCCTGATATCATGTTTTTACAAGGCTATACATACTTTTGTGATGTTTCCTTATTTCAAAATATTTCATTTACAATGCTATAATATAACAAATGGTACAGAGTTGAGAATATATTAATAAAAGGATAGTGTTTTCCTGTGATGTTTTCCATTATGTGGACCTAAATGCTGAAGATTCTATAATCACAAGTATTAAAACATTTATCTTAGATACCAAAACCTCTGTGAACCAAAATGACTAAAACCCCGTCTTTTCTGACACTTCTTTGGTTAACACTCAGGAATGACAGTATGACATATTAGACAAAGACTGGTGATGTCAGTTTTCTCCAACAAGATTACTCACTTCCCTCTTTATCTTCTTTCGTGCCTTTGCAATTTTTTCATCTAAGGATGTTTCATCTTGTCTTTTTTGCTGAATTTTTAAGCCATAATCTACACTAAATGCTGCATGCAAATCCTTTTCATTGGCAAAGACAAAACTTGTATTGAATTCTTCCGTTTGCTTCTTGTTCTTTTTCTTCTTCTTTGCAATTTTAACAGCATCCTAAAAATGAAAAATGAAAAAGTCTTGTAAACAGTGATAAGAAACATCTCGTCTGAGGAAAATTAGATGTGTTCTCTGATCTTTTGCACATCATTTTATCCATACCACAAGTCTGCGGACTTGTTATGGTAGGAAATGTAAAGGCTTTTTTAACATCAGCAGGGGGCTCTCAGAATATGAGGGGGAAAAGTCAGCTCTTCTTGTTTTATTTAAATGCCTGTAGAAAAACATTTTTCTTAACTATAACCTTTTTATGAAATTGGAATAAAATAGAAACAAAAAATGGTAAAAGTAAATTTTTAATGTAACTTTTACATGTTATCAAAACAAGAGGCCCAGAGGGCCTGTATCGCTCACCTGAATACCAAAGCAATCATGGCAAAATATTCTCCGAATGAGATCAAGGGAATATGCCAGACCCCAAGGCCAATCCTTGTAGCATATCTGTATTAGATTCTTCATGCCCAGCAATTTTATGTATGGTTATGGGGTGGGGATCTCAACTGTTTCCAAGCTTTGACTCAGAAACTAGGTCCCTAGGGTTGTGGCCAGACCCCAGGATCAATTCTAATATCGTGACTGCATTTGTCTCTTTTTGCCCAGCATTTGTATATATAGTTTTGGGGTGGGGATCTCAACCATTTCAAAGTTATGACCCAGGGGTTAAGTCTGCAAGGGTGGGGCAGACCCTGGGGTCAATTCTAATATCATGACTGCATTCGTCTTTTTATGCCCAACAATTGTATATATAGTTTTGGGGTGGGGATCTAAACCATTTCGAAGTTATGACCCAGGGGTTAAGTCTCCAAGGGTGGGGCAGTCCCCAAGGCCATCCTGGAAGCATATGTGCAATCATCTCTTTATACTCAGCAATTGTATATACCGTTATAGGGTGGGGCTCTCAACTGTTTCCAAGCTATGACTAACAAATTAGGTCCCTAGGGTTTCGGTCAGACCCCAGGGTCTATTCTGATATCATGACTGCATTCGTCTTTTTATGCCCAGCATTTATATATATAGTTTTGGGGTGGGGATCTCAACAGTTTTAAAGTTATGGCCCAGGGACTATGTCTCCAAGGGTGGGGCCAGACCCTATAGCCATCCTGGAAGCAAATGTGCATTCTTCTCTTTATACTCAGCAATTGTATACCATGGTTATATGGTGGGGATCTCAACCATTTCCAAGTAATACACTTTTTTTGGCTCAACCCCTTAGCCCGGGGGGTCAGCCCCACCATTTTTACAATTTTGAATCCCTGCGACCTAGGGATGCTTCCGACCAAATATGATCAATATCCATGGTAATGTTCTACAGTAGAAGTCGTTTATAGCAATATAGCCAAATTGCTCCCTTTTTGGCCCCGCCCTCAGCCCCACCATTTGTATAATTTTGAATCCCCACCACCTAGGGATGCTTCCAGTCAAATATGGTTGATATCCATGGCATAGTTCCAGAGAAGAAGTCGCTTAAAGCAATATAGCCAAATTGACTCCTTTTGGCCCCGCCCTTCAGCCCCCTGGGGGGTCAGCCCAACCATTTGTACAATTTTGAATCACCACCACCAAGGGATGCTTCTAGTCAAATATGGTTGATATCCATGGCATAGTTCTACAGAAGAAGTCGTTTGTAGCAATATAGCCAAATTGCCCCCTTTTTGCCCCGCCCCTCAGCCCCCTGGGGGGTCAGCCCAACCATTTGTACAATTTTGAATCCCCACCACCTAGGGATGCTTCCAGTCAAATATGGTTGATATCCATGGCATAGTTCTACAGAAGTCGTTTGTAGTAATATAGCCAAATTGCCACCTTTTTGCCCCGCCCCTCAGCCCCCTGGGGGGTCAGCAACACCATTTGTACAATTTTGAATCCCCACCACCTAGGGATGCTTCCAGTCAAATTTAGTTGAATTCCAATCAGTGGTTAAGAAGAAGAAGTCGTTTAAAGAAATTGTTGACGTACGCACGGACGACGGACGCAACGGTATGGCATAAGCTCACCTTGGTCCTTCGGACCAGGTGAGCTAATAATGTGACTGCGACACATTTTGGTTGGTCCTCCAATATGTAATTCTGTAACTGTTGACTGTAGTGATGCTATTGCTGCAGGTTTTTAACTGGTTGGGCACAACGGCGCATATGGGTAATAATCCTGCATTTTGGTACCATTTACCAATTTCAGTAACAATTTTATATACTGAAATGGGGAATAAAGTGAAAAAAACCACACAAAGTTCTTTTAAACACTTGAACTTAATAGACTTGGAACAAAACAAAAAGGCGTTTTTCTTTCAACTGGAAGAATTGCATCTATTTTTGGTACTTTCCCACATGCAAATAGTTTATTTTTGCATTTGTATTATGTTTCATGACTGAATAAATGCGACTTGGACAAACAACTCCAAAAAGTTAAGAGTAAAGTGATTTTGGCTATTTTTAGTAACAAATCCATACCCCTATTATTGGCGTATACTAGGCGAGTTTGCGTATTATACGTAAGTTAGTGGTTTTCCAGGACCTTATAACTGATTTTTGACACATTTATTTTGTTGACACATTTATTTATTTATAAATATTTTTGCAAAAAGTGATCCAATTTTGGTACTGATCCGATTTGGGTACTGATACGATTGGGTACTGATCCGATTTGGGTAGCGATTTGGGTACTGATCCGATTTTGGGTACCGATCCGATTTGGGTACTGTCAGATCCGATGTTAAACAATTACAATGTCAAGCACATTGCTGTTGTACTTTTCCTCTTGTTTTTTGGCAATTTCAACCTTAAGGAAACTGGTCAATCAAAGTTAATGAAATCATTATTTTTTATTCCATCTGAACAAATTGGTAAGATCCCATACAGTAGCGTTCACAAAAAAGTATAGTAGTATCCGTCAAAATAGGTTACTGGTGAACATAAACAGATCGCCATGTAGGCCACGTGGGTGTGTATAATTTATTTGTTCGTCGTAAATCTCCCTTGTGTATGCAAAAAACCCTTATAAGAAATAGCAATGATATAACTCGCCCATACCTCATCGTCGCTATCGCTGCTCTCCACAGCCAAATCGACGGTATCGTCGTCGTTGATCGTACCAATCAAGCCTAACTCATTTAAGACGGCCATCTTTAAAATCGTGTTAAACTAAATACCGCGCGGTAAATTCAGGGGAACCTGGGAGTAGGCCAAGGGCGTGTTCAAAACCCGGAATGCACTCAGGCGTGGAGATTTTTTTTGTTGATTTATTGTATATATTAGGCTGTATCTCCCTTAATACGTCTTGGATTTTTATTCAGAGACCAGTCTAGGAAAGATAATTTTATACCCGTCAAAATGATATAAGTTATGCGTACCATTATTCAATATTGGAAGTGAAAGTGGTGGCCGGAATGAACCACTATGAAATAAAAATGGCAATATTTTCAACTGTTTTCGTTCTAATAAATACTCATATCTCAAAAAGTACTGAACCGATTTTTGTTCGGAGACCACTCTGGTCAAGGGAATTTTGCACTTGTTGATATGATACCACATCTTTCATATTAATCGCAAAAGTGGTGGCCGGAATGAATCGAAATCGTTTGAAAAATGACGAAAAAAGTCTAACTTTCTCGTAGCTTTCTGTCTTTTTTTTACCCATTACTCGTTAATCGCAGAACCGATTTTTGTTCGGTGACCACTCTAAGCAAGATTATTTTATAATTTATAAGCTGATATAACTTTTATTAATATACATTACAAACTCGATGCAAAAGTGGTGGCCGGAATGAACTACTATGACGATCCACGCTATCACATTTGCTAAAACAACACGCCACCGGTGAATAGCGACCGGTGTATAGACTTCATGTAATGGGTAATTCACACCTTTAGCTTCTAGTGGTCGATGACTGTTTACTAAAAAGACAATTGTATACTAATTATACAATAATTATATTATGATCCAAATATAAATTATCCTGTTGAGCTTGCGGATTAGGAGGAGTTTAAGTGATGGGCGATCACATTATGGTTATATGAAAATGCCTAGTGCTTGTCAGTGAATCAATTCAAGAAACTAACGCAGTTCAATCTAGGGAATCTAAACAGGTAGATATATCTGACGATCTCCAAACCGAAAATCAACAACAATCAACTGATACTATTCAAGTAGCAGATACACCAGACTTTTTCGAAAATAAGTGTCAACCATCAAACAAAAATCTGTCCCAAATTTGCTTAGCTAAATTAGTTTTGGAAAATAATGGCATAACTTTTGTTGAAGATCAAAAAGCTTTTATCATATGTGGGAACAATGGCACTAAATATGCAGTCACTTTATATCCAAAGGAAACTTGTCAATGCCCGTCTACGGGAACTTGTTATCACATCATGGCCGCTAGAATGAAAATGGGGGACGAAGTTGTAGAAAGTAAAAGAACCGTAAGTTTAAAACAGTTATCTAAGAACAGTTTAAAAAGAAATGATAAAAATTCCGGTAGAAAAAACCCTAGAGGTAACGATTATGACAGGGAGGTAATTGCGGCACCCGATTCAGTCACGCTAAACCAAGATAATGATACAGTAATGGTAGATATCACGCCACCTTAAACGCCAAAATCTACGAAAATAAAAGATAAATCAAAGACTCCTATCAAGCAAACAAAGACTCCTAACAAACAAACAAAGACTCCTAACAAGCAATCGATTAAAAAGAGAAAATCTTTAACTCTGTAAACAAAGAAGCAGGTTCAAAAAAGAAACTCAGATTTCAATTAGACAACTCTGATACATGTAATATTAGTGAAGATAATGTACAACTTGTTAAAAAATGTAGAGTCAGTGAAGACACAGAGTCGGTACAAACGCCTTGGGTAGGTAATTCAGATGAAAGTCATAAACTTAAAATTCTCAATAAAGCATGGGTTTGTTCTGATATAATTAACTCAATACAAACAATATTGTCTAAACAATTTCCTGATTTGAATGGTTTTCAGTTGACAAACTCAGCTCCCGTATATGATTTAAATAAATGCAAATGGAAAAACCAAATTCCTTTTCAATCTGGTTATTCACCTTCTGTTCAAGTTCACCATAATGGAAGAGATCACTGGGTTACTAGTTTCCAAACAAGCAATGGTGAAATATCTGTTCTAGACAGTTTAGCATCTAAAGAAAATCATACAGTAAATACTCCCTCGATCGAACTTCAGCTGTGTAGCATTTACGGCCATGATAAAGGTGGTATTCCGATCAAAATTTTGGATGTACAGGAACAAAATAATGGTTACGACTGTGGACTTTTTGCAATAGCAAATATGATAGAATTTTGTTTTTACGGAAATTCGTTCAAGCAAAAAACTAACTTCATTGAAAACCAAATGCGGGACCATTTGATTTGGTGTTTCGAAAAGGGGCACTTTAGACCGTTTCCACAATTTGTTAAAATAGCATCACAAATAAAAAAGGCAAATAACCATAATATAACTATCAATTGTAGCTGTTCATGTGGGTTACCAGATTGGATGGATGAGATGATTGGTTGTGATTGGAGTACAGGTAGGATTCATTGTAAAACATGGAAACATATAGGATGTGCAAATATTGATTATTCGAAAGAAGATTGGTTATGTTCCGAACATCGTAGGTTTTAAAATAAATATTCTGTGCGGTAAATTGAAAGCATATCTATAAAAAAAAAAAAAAAAAAATGGGCTCTTATGTAAAACTGTGTCCTCGTCGCAGAGCCTGTAAGAATGACTAAAAGTTCTACGTGTAATCCGTTTTTCATTTCGAGTTACTTCCCTTGTATTTCCCTTGTATTGCACTACCGATATTGTTTAGCTTGTGTTGTTTTAGCATACCCGATAATGTAGAAATTTACGTTCATAGTGGTTCATTCCGGCCACCACTTTTGCATCGAGTTGTTCAATGATTTTTTTATACGTGATTTAAAAAAAAACACATTTAAAAGTTAAACTTTTTGTCTTTGAACGATCATTTCGAACCCACGAAGATTAACACCCAGTTTTAGTTTTGAATTTCAATGTTTTCGAGTGTTGGATACTATACCGCGGTACCCTCCTTATCACAGAGACGTAGCTCCCTAGCTTATCATTCTATTTAATAAATCCTTTCTTTCCGTTATTGTCCTATTCCGTCTTTTGTATTGCAGAGTTATCTGCTCTTGTGAGCAGGTATATTAATTGTTACGTCATTAGTTTGTATGAGAAGATTATGTCGTTTTCTCAAAAATGTATGATGTTACTCTCACAAACAAATGACGTAACAATCAATACCTGCTCACAAGAGCAGATGACTGCAATACAAAAAGACGGAATATACCTTAAATATATTGCTGAAATTAAAATTATTGGAGGCCGGTTATCTAAAGGAAAAGACTTATATAAGCTTAGCATGTTGTCTTATTCCTTTGTTAATACATGTACTGTTTTATTTCTTCTGTAATACTTAATCATCTTTGTTTGTATTAACAAACCTTATAATGATTCTGGTCACAGGCGATCGACCCAGTACAATGTGCCACACAATAAACCAATTGTATTCGTTTAAAAACGTTTCTTATAAGCAAAGAAGTAATGACGATAGTGCAGAAAAAGAGATGTCTAATTAAGCTACACAATCTTAGTATTTAACGTATTTGACTAAACGAAACCTGTAAGGTGGACGTGCTTGTATTTTTTAAAATGAACTTTCCCTTTCTTGATAGTAACATATAAGTTACTTTCTCTTCTTTACTAAAGTTTTATTTCATGTCGCAGTTATTTCGGTATATATAAGAGCTTGCTCCGAATGTCTTACTTTGGAGATACCGACTGCTGAGGGGAAACTTAAAACACAGGGTTTCCAAAGATGCAGGTAGACGAAGACCATAGTTTTATAGAAGCTACCTTACGATCTCAGAGGGAACTATGCCGCTATTTCTTTGTGTGATATGACGGGCGATGTTTTATTATGCTCATTAGTGTAACTAAGTTGAGGTTTTGCTGTTACTTATTATATATTTCGATCAGAGACGTACGGTTTTATGCGTCTCTGTTTTTGAAGAATTAGTTTACATTGCGTTTACATTGGTGAAATACAAAAAAAAATACAATTAGATAATTTTTGATTTTTTTTTTTTTGATAAGATAGATTTTGAAGACATATGTTCAGGTCTATGACTTATTCTAACATGTGGTCTACGTTTGTGGTTTCCTGTCCAATCGTAAGATATATACCGGCACATACATTTTGAATATATTTGAATACAAAGTATAACGTTAGTGCAGGCAAATTTGCCATGCACCCAAATTCGCCACCCTGTGACGAATATGCCATATGACGTCATAATACATAAGATAGTAAATAACGTCACCAAAGTCTTCAACACAGTTCAAGCCTACACATATTTTGACAGGAAGAGATATGAGAAGGGAAAAGTTATATAATTATTTTTTCATATCATTCCCGACAAGTGATTGGCCAGGAGTGCATCACGTGTCCGCCGATAAAAACCGATATTGACTTGGAGCGCGTGATTTTTGTTGAAGGATTGAAGTTTTGCATAAATCTATATTTTTCATCTTTCATAGTGCAGAGACGTATATAACTTTAGTTATGTACTTCTCTACATATTGTTCATACAGAGATATTTAAGGGAGATAACTATTATACACGAATTTGTCTCTGTCGGTGACAGGCTATCCCATTTCTCCTTTTTAGAATTTAGTTATAATACAATTTAGTTTCGAATAGCAAATGAACACTGTGATGTCGAATGAAAATTTCACCACTGAATTATGCAAGAGTGTAGATTTGATAATTTGATCAACGTCAATTATAAATATAATCGAGAGCATATGATTTTTAACCGTATTAAAAAATACGAAACTAATTAACTTTACATGCATGTTGACAATATTTTGGCGGGAGAAGTGCGTTGTCTGTCTCGTTATTTTTACTTTTTCGACAACAGAATTCTAAGCGGACAGAGGACTGAAGAAGAGAGTATTTAGAATGGGAATTTTAGGTCTATCCAAGCTGTTAGGGGACTACGCTCCGTCATCTATGAAAGAGAATGAAATTAAAAACTATTTTGGTAATTGTTTATCGATGCACTTTTTGAGGTTGTATGAATACCCTTAAATTTACACTGAATCAGAGGCGTATAAAGCCGTAGTATATACGTCTCTGACTCAATGAAGCTGACTTCTGATCAGGATGTGCTTTCTGCTCTGATTTCCAACTTTGTCCGTGTATGTAGCGGCTTTGTTTGGTATTGTTATGAATTTCATCCTACACAGGAAACCTCTGACACTGACAGTTACCAAGAGAGCTAGTAAAGTACTTTTGGTGACTAACACCATCTTGTATGGGGGTTTCTTGAACCTTAAACACTCGACATTGCTGTATATATAGCATAAATTAAATATGATTGCTTCGTACCAAGTCAAAGTTCTAAATGATGAGAATAGATTGTAAAAATGAAGTTGTATAAGAATAAGGCAGGATACATTGTACTTTTGATATATAATGTGAAGATGAGAAGCTACTGTAGCTATAATTCTGCAATAACACACATCCTGACCAAAATGCTTATCAATAATTCAATTCATCCTGAAAAAACACCCTACCTTCCCATATGAAAATGACATATAACCTGAGCATGTAAACCATAAAATATCAATCGGAGATTGAGAATGTATGAGTCTGGTCTGTCTACCGAACAGAATATGTTTCTACACGGAAGATAAGAATTTCAATTATGAATTTAAACTTTAATTTTGCAGGGCGGAAGGTTGCTGTTGATGGTTCTATGTGTATATACCAGTTTCTGATTGCTGTGCGACAGGATGGCAATCAGTTGATGTCAGAAGATGGAGAGACTACCAGGTATACACTAGGGCTGTCACAATCGTGATACACTTCGGGTCTATTGTGACAAATGCAACCTTAATATTTTTTCCTGGCCTGTTTTATGTTAAAAAGGTGCACTCATTATCTGTATGTGCACTGATAATAGGTTTTCCAAGTTTAAGGTGAAAATTGTGGCATTAATATATATATATTGTGAAGTCTTTCCCAAACACAAACAGATAGCTATAACCAGGTTGGGGAAAACCACAACTTACGTATGATACGCAAACTCGCTTATTATACGCCAGTTGGAGTATGGATTTGTTACTAAAAATAACCCAAATCGCTTTAACAGTAAGATATTATTAAAAATCACATTAATTTACTACAAGGTAAATAATAGTTTGCTAAAATTTGTTTACTAACAGCGTTGGCTACTTGGAAACTTTATGTAACTTTACCGGAAGTATTGCATCTATTTCTGGTACTTTCCCACATGCAAATAAAGTTCATTTTTGCATTTGTATTATGTTTCATGACTGAAAAAATGCGACTTGGACAAAAAAAAGTTAAGATTCAAGTGATTTTGGCTATCTTTTGTAACAAATCCATACCCCTATTGGCGTATAATAGGCGAGTTTGCGTTTTATACGCAAGTTAGTGGTTTTCCTCGACCTGATAACAAGTTCTTCAATAGTAACAATTTTATGATGTTTCTCGTTGTATTGGGAAGAGTAACATTAAACATTTAATGTAAATGTTTAATTCTTTTGTATTTGTGATCATTTAATGTAAATGTTTAATTCTTTTGTATTTGTCATCATTTAATGTAAATGTTTAATTCTTGGTATTTGTCATCATTTGATGGAAATGTTCCATATTCTTAAAAAAAACTAGCTATTTGATTAATAATTGTTTACTGTGTTGAACTTTGTAGTCATATAATGGGAATGTTTTATCGTACCATCCGTATGGTTGAAAACGGTATCAAGCCAGTCTTTGTATTTGATGGTAAACCACCAGACATGAAATCAGGGGAGGTAAGTGTTATATGTCTTGGATCATACATTTTGTACTTCCTTTATAAAAAGACTGATTTTTCATGAAAATAAATTGATGAAAAGATCTTGATTAATGGATGATTATGTACATGTCTATCAGTAGACTATCTCTTCCTGTACCTTGTGATTTACATGCAGCAACATGAAATTACAATAAATGTTTTGCAGTATCCTTGATGGTGATGTTGATCAAACTTTGTTAATTTTTAGAGTTGAAAGAACATTTAACCTGAGATGTTTTATCAATTCAAATGGAAATAAAGTGAATCTTTTTTTAAAGACAAATATGATATTTCATAAAATTATAATGTAAATATTTGCTGTTGAATTGACAGCTGGCAAAGAGAAAAGAAAGACGTGATGTGGCAGAGAAAGCTCTAGCCGAGGCTGAGGAAAAAGGTTAGTCCTAGTGGTATTATCCAGAGGAATAACTCCAGACAGTAATAATTCTACCTTGTTAAATGTTTGTCCCTGTGCGTTCCTAAACAGATTGAACATTTCCAGTGTTATTCCTTTTCATATCAGAAATTTCAATTACTGATGTTTATATGGAGTTTTGACCTCTGGTTGATTTCGTTCTTTTCCTCGATGATAGACATTCAGATGTAGAAATAAGTGAAAGTGAATGTTTTACAGAAGCTATGTCAAAATATTTCATATGCTTTCCAATCCTCAATTGCTGCATTATATCTCAAGATTTAGTTTTTATTAAATTAGGGGGATGGGGTACCCACAGCTGACCTTGTCATTCCTTTTAACTTCGATATTTACACCTATGCTCTCATCATTTTAATAAACCGAATCTAGATTATTACAAAGTGCTCCTCAGACATTCAGTGTTTTCATTTATTACCAATGTGTGCTGGAACTTTCAGATATGTTTATCTCTAACATGAAGCTGATCTTCTTAGAATAGTTGCTCGCATAGAGAACTTGAACCTTTAGATATTTGTCTCAATGTGAGTAATGGACATCTCTGTTGAATCAGTATATAATTAGGCTATGGCCACTAAAAAGGACATCTATTTCAATTTTGAAACTTGAAACATTCTAAACATTTTGATTGCAGGTGATGCAGAAAATGTTGAGAAATTCAGCAAAAGATTGGTAAAGATGAACAAAGGACACATTGATGATTGTAAAGTCCTGCTCAAACACATGGGTATACCCTTCATTGAGGTAAACATTTAAATAGAAAAACAGGGGTGATCACCTTCTTCAAGTTTGTTAACCAGACTCATTCCCATTTGAAAATACTCCTTTTTTTCACAATTTAAATTGATGTAGATGTATTTCCAAATCACAAAACAAATCTAAATTTTTTGATTGTCTGATGTTCTGTTGAGTCGTGAGATATAGGGGAGAGAAGTTCTGTGCAGTTTTTCTTTTGAATTTCACGCTAAGAGTTTTGGCAGTGTCTCCCTAGATACGTCTAATTAGCCCGTTATAAATAATGTGACCATGTTACGTAACTAGCACTGTATCCAAGTTATGACAATCAAGTTTTGTTGTACTTTAAGATGGCACCTGTGGACACTATTGTCATATGATCCTTACTTTTGGAAATATTTAAAACCACAAACGTACAAACATGGTGTAACGTTTGATCTTTCAGGCTCCTGGAGAGGCAGAGGCCCAGTGTGCAGCCTTGGTAAAGTCAGGAAAGGTTTTCGCCACCAGTACAGAAGATATGGATGCCCTTACATTTGGTACTACTGTGCTTCTGAGAAACCTTACAGTCAGTGAGGCAAGGTAAACATTGGGGCAGCATTCTAAACAGTTGAAGAAGAGTTGAGTATTTATGTGCTAGGGACGAACCTAGAAGTGCAGTGTTTTTGTAAGTGTAGGCCAAGATCTTCAAGGGTTAAATTAACCTTATATGTTGCATTTAGAAGCTGACAAATAGGTCATTCAGAATAAATGAAAATGATTCAGAAAAATCAATATCAAAAGCTGCTTAATTTAACTTTCCACCATTTCACATTTTACTTAAATGTTAGTTTCTTTAGTATTGTTTTTGTAAAATTAGAAAACTTTATCAAATTTATTTTAGTTTGTATGTTTATAATAAAAACATGTGTCAATTTATGAATAAAAGATGAACAGCAATGATTGGCTGCAATATCTAGGGTGCAAATTAACACTAAACTGTCGGGTCGCCGTCAGGAAGCAGTTCTTGTTGTATCTAAACATCTTGTATGGTCATTGTATATCAGTGTGTAGCTCTTACTATTATGCAATTTATTGTGTTGTTCTCCGTGTTAAAAGTCTATATGCAATATAAATAAATATTGAAAGTCTGTGATGTGTAAACCAGATAGATTCAGTAGAACACCACTTATCAGAACTCTGTCAGAATATGAGATGTGTTCCCTATTTATAAGTAATTGAGAATGATTACAAATGCAGCACAGTGAAATAAAAATGGATTGTCATTCCTGGTAAAACAAGTTTTTGGATACGACATGCACAGCTGTAATCGTTTGATTCCAGAAAGATTTGAATAAATGAAAAGACTTTGTATATCTTTTTTAATGTGCCTGAAAATATATTCTTATATTTGAATTCTCAAATAAAACTCAATGCAAAAAGTAATATGAAAAGATCATGCAATGCATAATGCACAGCCCCTGTAATATTTCAATTGTTAGTATTATTTAAACATCAGAGGGGAAAATTAATAAATGTCAGTAATTGATTAATGATTCATGTTTTGAATATTTAATATCATCATACTGATCTACTTTTCAGGAAATTACCTATTAAAGAATATTATTACAGCAAAATTTTAGAAGAAATTGGATTACAAAAGGATGAAGTAAGTTATGCCTACACCTATCTTTTTATCTGTCGCTCATTAGAGCATCAATATTATAGCATTAATTATTAATTAAATTATTACATAGTATTTTTTTTGTCAGTGCTTCCTTCTATCTTCTAAAAAGATTGTGGACAAGATGTTTCATGAACCTGTGAACACATTTAGTTGATATTTACGCAATAGTGTGGCTATTTTGATGCTATTCCTGATTAGAAACTAGTGGTCATCAGTTAAGATTCAAGGGTCAAAGGTCATGTACATGTGCTCCCATTTAAATTAATGTAATTTTTTGGACAAATTTTGATATAAATAGTAAATGGAGACTACGACCTCTGGTCCCTGAAATAAAAACTCATTTGAAGTATAATGATACTTGATCTTTGTATAAAGTTTGAAAAAAAAAAATGTGTTAAAAATTGAAGTTGCTAGCACAGTGACAGTGAAGTGGAATGGGACAAGACGTGGGTAAAACTATAACCCTACCCCACATAAAATAGCAGGGGAAAAAATGCAGCAAAAATTTTAAATGTATAATTTCCGTATCTGTTACAGTTCATCGATTTATGCATACTATTAGGCTGTGACTACTGTGAATCAATTCGTGGCATTGGACCGAAAAGAGCGATTGATCTCATCAAACAGCACAAATCTATAGAAGAAATATTGAAGCATTTGGACACAAAGGTTTGCGTGTTCTGTATTAGAGCTGTTACGTGTATTTCACTATTTCTAGTAATGGCAATAAACACTGAATCAAAAACTGAAGTCACTTTTTTACATCATTAATGAATAGGTTCATTTTTATGTTGATATGAATAAATGAATGAATTCCCTTTCAAAAAGCATGGTATTTACCAAACTTCTCTGACATTATTAATTTGTCTGCTGCTACTTAAAAAGACTATATAAATTAATACATTCAGCCGAAAGAAAAACTGAAAAAAGTAACCTCCCCAAAATATTTATCTTTTTAATTAAACAATCAAATAAATTTGATGTGAATAGTTCAGCATACAAAATTAACTAAAATAAGTTCCTTTTGGTTTAAGAGAGTTTCTTTTTTCTTAATTACAGAAATACACAGTTCCAGAAGACTGGATGTTCAAGGTATTCTTGTTATATCATTTAACAATATTCTATATATAACAGTAAAATATTTAATATAAAGATTATTATTTAGGGCTGATCACGTCTGGGATCGATCTGACCTCAGATTTTGTTTAGGGGTTTCACCTTAAAAGTTTATTGATAATTTGCATGGAAGTAATTTTAAAGCAAAAAAATCAAACCATAGATAGAAGTGATTTAGTATGGAGTTCTGATATCTGATGGTGTCAGGTCATTTGTCTTCAATTTGACCTACTTTCAAATTGTCTTACCTTTAGTGATAATCATTTTACAGTTCACAGTCGCTCAATGTTAGCGACCATGATCCTGATTGGTCTATACGTTGTCTTTCAGGAAGCACGGCGGTTGTTCCAGGAGCCAGATGTGACAGAACCTGATGATATAGATGTGTGTATTTTTCTATTTAAGCCTGAAAAATATGAGTAAAGCCAAGACATCTTGACAATGAGGAAACAACCCAATTTTAATACCTTGCTTAGAGGGCTAACTCAAGTTGTCATCAATGTCGCACCAATGTTCAAACTCTCTAGACTTCATGGCCGACTCGAACTACGTACAAGTCAAACACCTCCCCTAAACTCCAAAAAGCTATTTTTCAAGTCCTACATAACCCTTATCATTTAAATAAATATAATATCTGTTCCAAGCTTCATTGAGTTCAAATTAATCATGTTTTATTAATGTGACCTTTTGGAGTGCTGCTTGGCTCTATAGAACTGAATCAACCCGTTTATCATGATATTGATAATTCCGTCTTTCAATTAAGGTTCCAATTTAAATCCTACTGGTAATGTTTTCACTGTCAGAAGCTTGAACCCCTCATTTTATGCTTACTAGTACTGACTTGAATTTGATGTTTTTGAGTAGATAAATACCCGTAGTTTAATAGTAATTTCTTGTTCTCTTTCAGCTCAAATGGACAGAACCAGATGAGGAAGGTTTAATACACTTCATGTGCCAGGAGAAAAACTTCAAGTATGAACAAATCAAAATAAAAGTACTGTTCAGTTTGTCCAAATAGATGACCTTGACCAACTTTAAAGGTCACATGAACAACAAAAATCCATATGGTGTAAATTGATAATATATGGATAATGGCGTGATACATTGTTTAATAAACTTGCTTAGTGTCACAGGCCATTTGGATTTTGTTAATAAGTCGCTAGAGAGTGGGGGTTTCCCTTCCTCGTGGAAAAAGTCTGAAGTTTGCCCTTTTCATAAAACATGGTGAACAACTGTAGACAAATGTCTATGTTGTCTTGTATAGATGAATATCCTAAAAAAATCAAGTTTCGATCATATGAATATGCATGGACCATCATCTACCGTAGCAGAACATCCACATTTTTAAAGAAAGTAGTTCTAACATGGTTAACCGTTATGTATATAGGTACATCTATCTTGTGTGTGGTATCTTAAATACCATGGCATGTGGTAGCTATTTTTGATATGATTGTATGCTGTTTTATTTGTGTGTGCGCAACTTTCTTAAAACATCTTGTACAATCATAGGTGTCGGTGAGTCATTTCACGTTTGAAAAGTCTGATATTTAGTGCATAGGGTTACATTTTTAAATTCACCCTCCAGGGGTCCCTATGTATGCATATTGATAGAACTTGTTTTTTGTTAAAATTCAAATGGGAATAAAAAAGTATTGCAATATATTTATTAATTATGATACATATAATTCTTAGTTGCAATATATTTTGTAAACTGAAAATGACCAGAAAGTTATACTCTTAATGAGACAGATATATGGGAAAAGAGGTACATTGATGTTTTGTTCGGTGTCTTCAGGTTTTAATTTTGATTGAAGGTATTGGAATTTTGTCTTTTTACAGTGAGGACAGAATAAAAAATGGTATTAAGAAGCTAACAAAGGCGCGTCAAGGGACCACTCAGGGTCGACTAGACTCTTTCTTCTCTGTTGTGTCATCAACAACATCGTCAACAAAAAAACGAAAGGTAAGTTACAACTGATGATGCATCAGTCAGTGTTGGCAAGTTATTCTTTTTGTGATTACAATTCAAATGTCTTACCTACAAGGATTTTAATTTGTACCCCCACATTTACTTCTCTGTCAGCGAGTCTGAGTTTGTGTGTAATTTAGTTCTGGCATGTCTCGTACTGTGTTTCATACAATTGATGGTGAAGTGTCTTGAACTGAAATCAGGTATTTACTATATACATAGTTATGTGTCTTTATTCATTTTTAACATCAGGCACATTGGCATTTCAATGTACCAGTGATAAAAGCCTTTCACTCCTGAAACTTACTTTATTCAATACTAGCTGGCCACTAACTACTCCCTCACATATTACTGAACTGAAATTATACTTCAATTACAGCTGGAAGAACAAAAAGGATCGTCAAAGAAGAAGGGCCGAGGAGGTGGTTTTAGACTGGGGAAATAGGTCACATTGATCCGTTCAAGATCTGAAAGAAATTATGATCTCTTTCTGTTACTGCAATTTACAGTGGTAGCCTGAAAGAAAATCCATTGAACAAACAGAATAGAGGATGTAGACAATTGATGAACTGTACTGAAGCCTGTTCATGTATGGGGAATGACTGGTTCATCTAACTGTATTGAGTTGAAGACATACTCCACACTAAATGTAAATATTTGGGAATATAAATCTTCAGCGTCTATCAATATAGGTATGGTGCTTTCCTGTAGATCTGGAATCCAACAGTTTTGGAAAATTAATTAATGGACAAGCTTATTTAAGAAAGTAATGAAATTTTTAATAAAAGGTGTAATGTGAATGCAGAGTAAACCTTATGCCAGACTGGTTTTGAGAAATTAAAATGTCTGCATTACTTATAATTGTTCATTATATATTAATTATCACTTCAGATAGATTAAGATTTGCAGAAGAAATATGTGTCACTAGTGATATAAGATCACTTGATCAGAATGTATTAAAGTGTTACTAAGCTTATTTTCACCATAGTTCACAAGGTTTAAGTAGTTGGTACATGTAATAAGAGGCAGACACACACTTATAATAGGTTCCCCTGCAAAACATCACTCAAAATAGGTTTCCACTCCAAAACTTCCAATTTTAGGTTTTAGTACTTGCCAAGAGGGAGACTCCTATCCTCTGTACATTTCAGGTAATTTTGTTTGAAGAAACGGCCATCTAAGGATATTTCTTTCAATCTGCTCCATAACATCCGTATTTAAACCTTATCACCACCAAACTTCTTAGAAGCTTGTTAGAAATAGATACTTATACTTGTTCAGGTCATTTCTCCATAGGTCAGTAGTATTGGAAGTTCAAGTTCTGCTTCATAACTTGCTTACCTCATCTTCACCAAACTTTTTGAAGTGGTGGTACTGACTCTGTATATTGTTATACCTATACACTTATGTTCATATTTGACCTGTTATGTACTGTTGTCCATAGTGCTCTTGTTTAATCTTCAGCAAGAGGGAATGATGCTATACTTTAAACACCTGTTTGTCGTTAATGAGAATTATATTTAGATCGTGTTTTGGTGATTTTATTATTGTCTTATTATGCACGGCCATATTTTGTTGCAAACAAAATACACTGACTATTGATCATACTTACTTGTGTTTGTGTTTTTTCTAGTGTAAAACATTGTCACTGTTTGTCCAGGAGAGTACTGAAGTTTGGCATTACAAAGGGACTTGGCACTAAACATGTTTAGCAATACATGTTCGTGGAAACAAACTCATTACAAAGCAGCGTAACTGCCACGTGAGGTGTTTTAACAGCACTAAAACAAGTACCAAATCTGTTCACTTCAGATAAAATAATATGAGATACTATAATATAAAATCTTTCAAAGGTTAAGGTCAAAGGCAAAAGCAGGTATCGGTGACCTACTTCTGCACACCACCAATCAAAGATGTATTTGCATACCAAATATGGTTAATCCTGGTACAGTGTAGAAGACAAGTCCCAGACAATCTTTTTTGATGGACGGAGTGCAAAACTACCGGCAACCGGTTGGGGACTAATAAAGACAAAAACAGTAGAACATGATGATGATGTTTGCTACCATGACAACTGATAGTTGCCACAAAGCACCACTGGTAAAAAAAAATCCCCATGTAGTAGCCCAACTTCAGCCGTCTTCTTGGTTTGAGATATGACCCGTTGTTACTTCATCAATGTGATGAAATGACGTCACAGACTTTCAGGTATATTCTGACGTCAATATGGAGACAATAGGTAGAGAGCTAAAATATCTTTGAGACCCAAACACGCTGTACTTTTTGTTTGTTTGCATTATTGCAGGCCAAAATGAAACGAAGCGGGGGAATCGTTATCATGGCATGGCAGTTAGACGGTATGAAAATGAAGATTCTAACTAAAAGGGGCACGTAAGGCTGATCGTTAGGGTACGTAATGTTGTGATTCCAAGAAAGGTCACGTTATATGGCTAGTGTACTTGAAAACAGAAAAGATATTTTTTTTCCTGATTGAACTACATTACAACTAATGTGACAGTTCAGGTTCATGGGTCTCTTGTTTACAAAACCTCCCATATGGGTGTCGGGTGATACTGTAAATGGTGTAATGTCGTAATTACATATTTTAGAATATCTTCATTCACTCACTTTTTCTTTGAGTGTAATTTTTTTTGGCAATTAAAGGCGCACTATGTTTCATTTGAATGCCTTGGGTTTGAAGTTAAATTGAGAGTTTTCTTTGTTCGGCAGTTCAGATCTCTCGGTGGACCTCAACTCTTACGTTTTTAGACATGCACATCATTTCATCAAATCTAGCAATATATTGTGAACGGTGTTTTGTGTCTGAGTGAATATGCCTAACTGTATGACCGGAGAAGGTTGTGATAATTTGTAATATTTTGTGCCCAACCCCTTCTTCAAATAAATTGGCAAAAGAAATATGTTTATAATTAAGGTTACCTTCATTGATATTGTAAACGTACTGGCAATCATACAAATTGTCCGTCGGAGCGGAGAACTTTAAATTTTCTCGTAGTTTACTTTTGTAGACAAGATCGGCCTTCTGTACCGTTTAAACATTAACTGGTTTTCAACAGGTGTTGGGCGCGTATCTGTTTCTATTTGTGTGCGTTTACTTGTACAGACCGATCCACCGGTGACTAATGACAACCATTTTCCAAAAATAAATACAACTAGGAATTCACAGAACCTGGGTCCGTATTCGTGAAAGCTGTACTCGACCCTACACTTTTGTGCTCGAGCCCAATTTGTTTATACTGAATTAACATTTTGTCAATGATTTGGAAGAATTTCGGGAAGACTTAAAGTCAAATGCATTTTTCAATGTTTACATTTTATTTTCTGATCGTGTTACATGATTCAAGCGAGTTACAGAAAAAATAGTTGTTTGAGCGTCGAATCCATGCTTAAACATGAAAACTGTTTCGTAAAAACGGGCCCAGTTTAAGTCAAAAATCACTAATCGGTGATTTTATGATCTGCACGCGAAAAAATATCAAAACTATTCGTTTCTGTTTCTGAATACGCGAAAGCGTATTGTTTTAAAATATTGTTTTAATGTTTTAAAATATTCAAGTGCACACTATCTAACCTAACAGAAAGCTGTACGGCGATCCCCGCGGGATACGCATGCGTATAAATGAGTTATCATTCTAATTAGTGTCCAGTTGTTTACATAGGGAGGGTGTAGATCGTCTGTGATAATGTTCACTGCAGGGCACTGTGTTGTGAGGTGTAAATGCCAAAATGTAATGAGTCCAAGTATCATCTGAACAATATTCTAATAATAACTTGAAACGAGAGAAAATTGAAACCCCCCCCCCCAAAAAACCCATCACCAAACTGTAAACGTCCATCTATGACGCAGAGGGAGGACTTGTCTGACTGGCTGGGAGTCAACATTGTCTTGTGAGGACCAAAACTACTTCTGTTCATCAAACCTGTTATATTTAAATATCTGTAAATATCTATCCTGGGAGGGTTTCTCGTACTGAAGTCGGGTCTTGGGCCCCACAATAAATTATACAAAGTTATATCCCCTTGTTCATTTTAGATACCAAAACCTGTTCGGAGCGCCATTTCTTTCTCATTTCACGAACATTCATCACAGTTTCTATACTTATGTATCTCGGGCAGGTAGAGTGTCGCAAAATGAAAGTGTGTCTAGCGCCAACACAATATCCAAAGTTATGACCCTTTATTAATTTTCGTCAAAAAAGGAAAATCCGTATGCAGAATTTGAAAGAAAGGTAAACCAAAGTGTTGATTTAAGCCTTCGACATGTCTAATATTTCTATCTGCCCATCAGGTAATTATAAGTCCCGATACATTCACTTGTAGGAATTCTCTGTATCTGTAATATAAACAAGAGATTAACGAAACATCAGCAAAGCTTCGCTTACATTAAACTTGTAAAAAAGAAATATGAATCTCATATAAAGAGGAAACTCTGGTAAGATCCTATTTCACCCAGCACTCATGTGAGTTACAACTCTATAAAGCCCCCTCACTAGTGCATTAATTTGAAGATAATACTTTTGATCAATTAAACAATATCATGAAAATCCCTAAAACATTAACTTTCATTAAAATGCAAAAGACACTGCGAGACGTAGAAATCTATCCATCAAACACAGGTCACTTAGTTAAAGACATAGCCACACATCATTGTCCTCATATCAAATATCGGGCTTCCGGCAGCATAACTTAGAAACATCTATTGGTTAAGTCTATTAAATGCAGACTGAAAAGCAACAGAAAATTGTACGAGTTTATATGTGTGTCTGAATATCTTCTATACAAAGTTATACGAGTTTATATGTATGTCTGAATATCTTCTATACAAAGTTGTACGAGTTTATATGTGTGTCTGAATATCTTCTATACAAAGTTATACGAGTTTATATGTATGTCTGAATATCTTCTATACAAAGTTGTACGAGTTTATATGTGTGTCTGAATATCTTCTATACAAAGTTGTACTAGTTTATATGTGTGTCTGAATATCTTCTATACAAAGTTATACGAGTTTATATGTGTGTCTGAATATCTTCTATGCAAAGTTGTACGAGTTTATATGTGTGTCTGAATATCTTCTATACAAATTTGTACGAGTTTATATGTGTGTCTAAATATCTTCTATACAAAGTTGTACGAGTTTATATGTGTGTCTGAATATCTTCTATACAAAGTTGTACGAGTTTATATGTGTGTCTGAATATCTTCTATACAAAGTTGTACGAGTTTATATGTGTGTCTGAATATCTTCTATACAAAGTTGTACGAGTTTATATGTGTGTCTGAATATCTTCTATACAAAGTTGTACGAGTTTATATGTGTGTCTGAATATCTTCTATACAAAGTTGTACGAGTTTATATGTGTGTCTGAATATCTTCTATACAAAGTTGTACGAGTTTATATGTGTGTCTGAATATCTTCTATACAAAGTTGTACGAGTTTATATGTGTGTCTGAATATCTTCTATACAAAGTTGTACGAGTTTATATGTGTGTCTGAATATCTTCTATACAAAGTTGTACGAGTTTATATGTGTGTCTGAATATCTTCTATACAAAGTTGTACGAGTTTATATGTGTGTCTGAATATCTTCTATACAAAGTTGTACGAGTTTATATGTGTGTCTGAATATCTTCTATACAAAGTTGTACGAGTTTATATGTGTGTCTGAATATCTTCTATACAAAGTTGTACGAGTTTATATGTGTGTCTGAATATCTTCTATACAAAGTTGTACGAGTTTATATGTGTGTCTGAATATCTTCTATACAAAGTTGTACGAGTTTATATGTGTGTCTGAATATCTTCTATACAAAGTTGTACGAGTTTATATGTGTGTCTGAATATCTTCTATACAAAGTTGTACGAGTTTATATGTGTGTCTGAATATCTTCTATACAAAGTTGTACGAGTTTATATGTGTGTCTGAATATCTTCTATACAAAGTTGTACGAGTTTATATGTGTGTCTGAATATCTTCTATACAAAGTTGTACGAGTTTATATGTGTGTCTGAATATCTTCTATACAAAGTTGTACGAGTTTATATGTGTGTCTGAATATCTTCTATACAAAGTTGTACGAGTTTATATGTGTGTCTGAATATCTTCTATACAAAGTTGTACGAGTTTATATGTGTGTCTGAATATCTTCTATACAAAGTTGTACGAGTTTATATGTGTGTCTGAATATCTTCTATACAAAGTTGTACGAGTTTATATGTGTGTCTGAATATCTTCTATACAAAGTTGTACGAGTTTATATGTGTGTCTGAATATCTTCTATACAAAGTTGTACGAGTTTATATGTGTGTCTGAATATCTTCTATACAAAGTTGTACGAGTTTATATGTGTGTCTGAATATCTTCTATACAAAGTTGTACGAGTTTATATGTGTGTCTGAATATCTTCTATACAAAGTTGTACGAGTTTATATGTGTGTCTGAATATCTTCTATACAAAGTTGTACGAGTTTATATGTGTGTCTGAATATCTTCTATACAAAGTTGTACGAGTTTATATGTGTGTCTGAATATCTTCTATACAAAGTTGTACGAGTTTATATGTGTGTCTGAATATCTTC